CATTCCTGCATTATTTTATACTGCTATTTTTTCCAGAAGAAGGCCTTCTGAATACTGTTTGGGGTTTTTGGTTTTTTTTCCCTTAAGTATTTATTGTTTGATGCTATTATCTAAGTATGTCTTGCTTTTCAAATACCAAACCCAAAAAATGAGCATATGACAATACACGGTAAGTACTCAGAGTGATACCAGATTAACAGAGGTCCTGCCTAAATACTATGATGCAGTGCCCTGATCAATAACAAGCAACAGTTTATCAGTTTGAACACACACAGTATCACTATGCACCGAGTTTCGAGAATGAACTCTCAGATGAATACATAGCGTTACACAAGCCAGTACAGCAATCAACAGAAGAAAGCAACTGGCTATTTGATATTCCACAGGCAGCCATGAAATCTGATTTTATAACTCCTTTATATCACCAGAGTTGGGCATTTCACTATATAGATGTGTTCATTTCATGGTTCATTAATACACCTCCTATTTCATAAGGCACAGATACTAATTTTAAATACATCTCTCCATATCTTTCAAAACTGACTTGAAACTTTAAACTACTAATAAATCTGAATTAAAATGAATTTTAAATTTTCTCACTTTTTTCCCCTGGCAATAATGAAGTATTACTTTAAAATTATTTTGTTTCTTATTACAAAAATAATAATCAATACATAAAATACATGTTTAAAAACTATTTTCTCAAACTGCAACAGCACTTAAAGATGTTTCCTTTGTTAGTCACTGCAATGTAATTTCCTCTGGAGAACTGGAAGTACCAACCCCCTCTGACCATCCAGACTCACGTCCTTCTCTATTGCATGACTTCCCCATCAGTCCTCCTTTCCTTCCTCCCTCAATTTCCTTGTTTTATTAGGTAAATTTGACAGTTTTCTCTATAATGTTTTAAAAGAAATAGAGGATCAGGGTATGAGTCATTTTGCAAAGAGCACAGTATTTGCTTTTACTCTCTGGCATTTATTTCCCATGCAGGATGCGCAAGCTCCAGAAATGAAGCATGATTAGAAATGTCAACCAAAATGTCAGATTGCCCAGCTGCTGACATCTGAAGTATTTACCCACCTGCTTGCTCCAAAGCAACCATCGTTGCCTGCTCAATTAAATCACGTTCAATGAAGCTTCTGAAATCTTCACTGTACACGCTAAGGTCTGGTAGTTGGAATGTGTAGATGGGCATCTCCAAAGGAAACTGTTCATTGCTGCACTCATTTGCTACATGTGATCGAGCAAGGGAGACTATGGCTGAGCTGGCATGAGAAATACCTCTGGAAAGACGCTTTTCTGTAGAGAAACCAAAGAGACATTATAGCCTATAAGACTACATAAAAGACCAGTCAACACCAAGTCTGGCGAATGCCTGTTCATTTCACTCAGGAATTTATTCCACTTCTTGTTTGTTACCTTTTTTGGGTTATTTCCCTACTGTAAAAGATTGCTTAGTTCTTACTATGGATCCCTATGGCAAGTCATAGGAACTTCATTCTCCTTCTAGCAAAATAGATAAACAGTAAAAGTAACAAGATATGAAAGACGAGTATTTTTTAAAAAAATTTTTAATGTATCTTAAGTTTCCAAAGATACATTGGAAGAAACATTTACTGGCAGACAGATGATAATCAATTAATGTTTTGAACTTTTAATTTGACTTCTTGTGAATCAAAAAATCCAGCATCCTGCAATCACTTCATATCGAATGTGCCATACGGTTTTAATCTCAGAACAATCTACCTGAAAGCAATTTTAACATCATTATGCTGAATTTAAGACAAACTCCGTTTTTATGCCTATGTGTTTTCTAAAATCCCGATCCAAGAAACAATACACAGTTCAAAAAGAATGATGAAATTAACAAGCCTGGTACAAAAGAATGCATTATTTTATCAAAACAACTATGAGCTAATATCTTATAATTTATTGAATTTCTCTGTGGACAAATGCTACATAAGGAACAGTAAAGGGTCATTAAAGCAAAATAAGCATTGGAATATTAAGAAAAGGACAAAATATTACTATCATATCATTTCACTTTACTATATGGCCTCAGTTCTGGTATCAGCAAATAGGTAACAGAAATACTCTTCAAGTGCTTAAACCACGAATCATTCAGTCAAAACTGACAGAGATATTTTCTCTCTGTTTAGTTTCTGCCCCTGTACTCCTGTTTATATTTTTAAAAACTGAAATGTACGTTTTGTAGCTGCTTAAAATTCATGTTCATCAAATGTTACTAGCCTTCTCTCTCAGAAGTTCAACACTGAGCATAAAGTTTCTTTCTGCACCTGAGAAGCGGCACTCATTAGAACCACGCTACCACTGCGTTTCTGTGCTTCAAACTGACTGACCTCAGGTCTTTTACTGAGTTGCGCTCTCTCTAGCCATCCTTCGCAATGGGGATTATCTTAAATTAATACTAGAAAGTCTCCTGGGCATTTTACTGAGTTTTATTAGTGAGTTGACACCAGGTTTATGGAGTTTCTTATGTTTTTGAATACGCAGAAAGCTTCCTGGTGGGATTTACATAATGTTAAGTTAGATAATATTTTCATTGTTTTTCCTTGGAAATGGGTACCTTATCATACTGGAAACTTTTGTAAAAAACTATTTGGTGCAACTTCACCTCTGTAGCTTCATAAATACTACCACAAACTAGCCTTTAGCGATCAACTCTCAAACATGTACAACGCTATATTAAAATAAAAGAAGTTCCGGTACTTCTGTGCCTTCAGAAATTAACAAAGAAGCTTACTTAAATGCAGCTTATCACTTAAGCTAATAGTGTTTTTAAAACATCTCAAACTGACTAATGGTTATTAAAAAATTAATTTTCCTGGAGTTTGTGAACTTTTGTTTCTCTAATGGATCAAAGTTTTTCCAATTTTAAGAGCTAAACTGCACTCCCTAAAATATCCTAAACTGGGGGGAAGAGGAGAAGGTTTGATTACATTTGCATTTCTTTCTTCTCCCTGTACATCTCAGCTAAATCACTTTTAAACAGGGGAACTGAAGTATAGGATAGCATCTCCGTTTGACATCCCCTTGCTACCACTCCATCACCCCTTCCCACCATGGTCCAAGCCCTCACCTGTTGGCTGCATCCTCCACTCCAAGTACCTTGGTCCATAACAAGACCCCCCTTTCCCTTCTCTGCTCCTCCCTGAACATCCTCCTCACTCCAGTTTCACGTTTCAGTCAGAGGTGCCTCTCTGATCATGAAAGCGTCAGCTATGCATTGAATTGGAAGCAAAGTTACTGTCCAGGTAATTAAACTTACCCCACACTACCTACTACACCCACTAAAATATCAAATGGCCATTTCAGTGTAACTGGGCAGTTTAATAACATGGAATTTTAGAGTGAGCTATATCCTAATGAAGATGAAGGGACACAGTTTTATCAACTACGGTGTGCTACTCTTTCTCCCTTTATTTGTATTCAGTGCTTTTAAGAAGTCATAACAAGCACTACAGTTCCTTTTCTATCGATGGAAGTTAGCAATTTTAAAAAAGCTTTACTGACACTCCTAAGTACTGATGTCATTTCCTGTTTAATAGAAGGGAGGACTTTCTGTTCCTTCTAATGATTGCATAGAAAGCCATCACCAAGCCAGTGCTACTACCTCCCTACATGACAAACTGTCAGACTTGTAGATTGATTTTGGTGCAAACGACAGTTCCTTGATAAGGAACTGTAAATACAAAAAAATATTAAAAAAATGCATTCCAACAATCTGAGATAGTGATCTGAAATACAACCTATAAAAGATCTGCAAACAAAAAAGTAAATTCTAATGCTTATCATCCTGTACTGGAAATCAACTGCTAGAGGTAGTTGACTCATCTTTTTTAAGGTTTCAATTTCTATTTGGCAGGGGATAGGAGGTTGTCCTTTCTTCTGTGGAACCATAAAAGAACAAAATTTTAAAGCTGAAAGTTATTCACAGATTTCTTACACCCTAATCACACACTGTAAGTAAGAACGCAAAGATTGAAATACAGATTTTTAAACTTTTTTTTTGTTTCAATAAGCATAGAAAACTACATATAATAGTGGTCTGTGACACCCTCTAATTAATTCCTTTTATATGTACCACAAGACTGCTTGGGAACAACGTATTTTTGTACTTTAATCACACATTAAAAAAAATAACTTGCAGAACTGAGGCAAAGCTCATGACAACTGAAACATGTGAAAAGTAGGGTCCAGCAGCAGCTCTGTGAATCCCATCACAAAGACACGATTCACAGGCTAATGGCACACATTGACTTCCAACTCCCTGCAGACAAGCATACCTTGCAAGCAGACAAGCTAGAAAGCTGCTTGTCCACAAAAGCCCTGGAGAAGAGCTCTTACCTTGAGCAATGTCATCCTGCCTTTGCAGGCAGGGTCGCTCAGCCTTCGTCACCTGGGGAGGCTGCTCTGGCTCCTGCTGCTTGTAGTATTTGCCCTCATTGAACACCTGTGGCAGGTTGGCTGTGTGTACCTGCCGGAGCTGCTCATAGTCACTCAAAGCTGCTGTCAAGTCCCAATTTTTGCCTGCCAAACAGCAAAAGGACATTCTGCTCACATCTGTATGTGACCAGATTGATAACCTGGGAACCATCTTCATATGCACTTAAAATACAAACTTAAATAGAGAAATCACTCTTTCTTAAAGCATCAGCAATGGAACAGAGGTTCTTTGAATAAAACATTTTACAACCACTCCTCCCTCAACAAAAATGCACAGTTGTTAAACACCTTGAAAGTACACAGAAAATGGACAAAGATAGAAATCTTTTTTTTTTTTTTTTTTAAATTTTATTTCTGTTTTAGTTTTCTTTTATCATAATTAGAGAAGATGTCAGGAAAGCTCTTGTCCGACCTCCTGCTCAAAGCAGGGTCAGCTATAAGATCAAACTAGATTGCTCAGGGCTTTATTCAGTTTGGTCTTTAAAACGCCAAGGATGGAGACTGTACAACCTCGCCGGGCAAACTGTTCCCACATTTGACTGTCTTCATGGGACCTATGTCCACTCTGAAACTCTCTCGTTTCAGCTTATACCCATTGCCCCTTGTCCTCCTGCCACGCACCACTGTGAAGAGCTCGGCTCCGACTCTACCACCTCTCTGGGCAACCTGTGCCAGTGTTTCCCTACCCTCATTGTAAAAAATTTCTTCCTTATAGCTAGTCTAAATTTACCCTCTTTTAAACCCAATGGTTTAAAACCATTCCCCCTTATCCTGTCGCAACAGGTCCTGCTAAAAAGTCTGTCCCTGTCTTTCTTATAAGCCCCCTTTAAGTACTGAAAGGCTGCAATAAGCTAATCTTTATCTTATACATCAGAAAGAACTTGCTCTCTCTGAGATTTTAAAAGTCTTTTAGAAAGTAGATAGAATAGGACAGTGTTTTGTAACAAAACATGCAGTAAGACAATTCAGTCAGTGTGGTTCCATGTCTTTGTGAGCTGCTCATGGAAACTGCCAACACCGAATCCTCTAAAAAATTTGCTTCCAAGCTCCCACTTCATTATATTGCTATGACCCGCAATAACAGAACACAGGCTAGTATCTGCAGATAAAGAAGTCTGTTTAGTAGGTGGTGAAATGGTACTTGTCACTCCCAAAAAATAATAATGAAAAAAATGTTGAATTGTTTGTATGTTATTTTCAAAACAATCCTGCTAAGTTAAACTACCTAGATGTCCTAGCATTCTCCAAGTACTTTTTTTTAATTGGAAAATTACAAATATTTAATAGTAAGAAAAAAGACCCCACTAATTATATGAGATTTTCACAGCATTCCATGAGCACTTTTTCTGGGAATTCAAAAGTAACCTGATTCTGACTAATACATGGTTTATTACACCATAAAAGATTGTCACTTTACGTACTCTGAGAAGCTACATTACCTGAGTAGCAGCAGTTAAATATAACTTATTTGCTTACACAAAGGAGAATAAGCTAAAAACAGTACAAAGCAGTTTTATACAGATAAAAGAAAGTCTTTTACTGTAACAGTCATTTCTGTGAAGAACAAAAACCTAACTGAAGTAGGAAAAAACCAGCACAAACAGCTGTTACCTACAGGGTTGAGCTAAACTATCTCAGGTTTTGAAGTACTAAACAAAATTGTGAAAGGAGAATTAGTATCACCGAGCAAGAATGTTATATATATCTTGAGTAGTCCATAATATATACCACCATGTCAGTGATATGGAATCGTTATGTATGTTATGGTGTAATCTTCTATTAGAAAGCCTGTAGGGCAAAATGTAAATTCAGTGAAAATTGTCAGAGATCCTAGAATAAGCACTTGAGTTATTGCCAGCATTTTTTTTTCTAAAACCCCATGTAGATTCAATGGCTATAATCCAGTCAGGGCTCTGCTCTAACTATATATATCATCTGAATCTGAAGTTGGCCAACCCAAAGATCAAAGAATTCCCAAGACTGATGTGTTCACATATCAATGTTTGGAGTAGGGATTGCTTTTCTTTGGTCCTGTTTTTAGGAGGCACTTACAATATATTTTTAAAATCTTCTTCTCAACCATAAAGACAATAAAGAAAAACTTTTTTTAAGAAGTGAAAGTAACAATAAATATAATTCTAGGAAATGTAGGTTTAAACAGAACAGTATTACCCGAGTATTGGCAATACTGCAAGTCCAGTGCTACGTGACACCCAGCAGCAACCTGGGTTTATTCAGTACAGATCCTTAAGTAACAGACCTATATTAATGGAACACAGACAGCATTCCTCTAGTGTCAGGGCATTCCTTACAGGTCACCTGCTCAAGATATTTTCACCTTTAAGTTTTGAAATCTAACAAAAATCACTGTGCATGTGCTGTAAGCAACTGCTGTGTTACGGGGCTTTGATGTACGTAATAGGAAAGCAGAAAATCAGTAGACTAACAGAAATCCCGCTGTCCTTAGTTTTAAGCCAAATGCAATGATCTTATATAAAAGCTCCATCATAAAAATTACAGTCAGCCTTCAGAAACTAGGCTCACAATGTGTTGCATTTAAAACTAACTTGCATTGTGACTCTTGAGTTACGCTCCATGGTACAATGTAGCAACTGAACTTCTAATACAGACTTGAAACTACACATAAAAATAAAATTTCTGTATCTGAATGTATCTTACATGGAAATTTTTTATTTTCAAATCTTTCCATCTCCCTGGAGTTGTCCCCATCTCCTGAACAAAAGCACCAGTCAGCACCACAGCCTTGAACTTCAGAGGACCAACATAGGAAATGATTACGGGACTCACTTTCCCCAAATTTGCTGGAGCCTCCAAGCATCAGAATGCAAGAAAAAAATTCAACCGAAATAGAGAACATTTTAAGCACATTCCCATCTCCATGAAATAGTGTTTTTGAATATTAGCCACCCTAACTGACTAGCATAAGTGTTTTCAGCTACTCTCTGTACTGGAAGCATGTAAGCTTGCCCCCTTTGCCAAGGCTTCCTCTTATTTTGGTTTATACTTTCAAAAGTAAATACAAATGACAGACCTTTGGTTCTTCCCATTGCCCGTAAAAAAGAGGAGAATTTATCAGTTTGGGAGGATTAAAGAAGAAAATTCATAAGTCAAAGTGGAGGAAACTGGAGGCAGCAAAGAGAATTAGGGGAAAGGAAGAGAGGAAAAAAACAGAGGCATTTATAAAAGACACTGTGTGAAGAAATACAAATAAGTACCAAAATTTAATGCAGTGTAAAATAAAAAAAAAAAGTAATCAGATCTAAGAAAAAGTGGGATGTGATTTCGACCACAGAAACAGACTGCAGAAGCAATGGACAAATTGGGAAAGGTTATTAAACTCAGAGATGTCCAGAGCAGATGATCTGAACAAGGATTTCTAGCAGTGTGACATGGCAAGTGAGAAAAGTTTCAGCTGGAAGTTCCTGAAGAAACTAGTGGGGCTTATGATTGTGGAGATGAATAGAGCTGTCTCCCTAGCTCTTCTCCTTTAAACTTTGCATACCAAAAGCTTTTGAATTTCTAAAGCTGTATCTTACTACATTCCAAACTAAGTTTTGAAAGAAGAAAAAAACCTGAGGTATGCTGGGTCAGAAATGACAAAAATAAATCCATATAACATTGAAATAAAACATATCCCCCCCAATGTCTCATGGGGTAGGTCCCTCCTTCCAGTCTTGCTACTTGTCCAACAAGTTTCAGCAGCCTTCTGCTTTGGAGTGGCCTGCATACAGTCTCTTTGGGTCCCTAGGAAAAGACTCACTCTTTCTATTTATGTATGTCTGTTCCCAGTTCTTCTCTGAAATCTCCTAGACCCTGCTCCTCACACAAGTCCCTACTCTGTCACATCTTTTTTTTTCTTTCCTATCCCACAGAGGTTACACCTGACATAGGGCACTGACATGCCCTCCATCGCAAGGCTGAAGGAGAAGCAACAGGTAATTAATCTATTTTGCATAGTTTCATCAACTAAATTAAGTCAGGTGAGACTTTTTGTTGCAATCTGAAGGACAAAAACAACACAAGACTATTTTTCAGATTGCCCGCTTTTTTTTTTTTACTGTTACTTATCTGATGCACCCTACTGTTCACTGACTGCTAACTTCTTTGTTTATATGACTTATTACTGTATTTAAAAAGATATTTCACAGGCATAATAACGTTATTTCAGTACACACAATCACATCAGATGACAAGTCACTGGTAGTACCGCATCAGTTAGTAGCAACTGAATTGCTCCAAAGCAGCATTGACACAGTGGGTTTACATGAAAGGCTTTGAGTTTCTAATGGTCAGAGAACATCAGTCAGCAAAAAGCTGGAGCAGCACAAAGCTGGTTCGAAAACACAGGTAATGAATCATGATCAGGACGCTGGAATCAAATTAATTCACTAACTCAACAAAAAGAATACTCTTACTGAACAATTATTTCCAGAACAGCTGCATGTGCTTTGTGAGTCAGCAGGTGCAAAATTTAACAAGACTGAAAAGGGCTCTACTTTAAAACCAAGTGTTTCTAGTGTGGAGAAAAAACAACAAAACAAAAAAAAAGTGCAGCTGAGTAAGGAATGGAAGATGCACTCTGACTGAGGGCTGGTACTGGCACTTTAGTGTCAGAGACAGCAGGCATCTACATGAAAGGGAAATTCAAAAATAAACTCAGTTACACTGAAGTTTCTGTCCTAAATAATAGTTGCTTGAATAACAACAGGAGGCATTGTCAGCCTGAAGAAAAAACAAAGACTTAGATAAAAAAAAATATAATTTAAGAAGCCACTTACGCATTTTTGCCTTACCACCTCAAACTGGATTAGTAAAGGGTTAAAAAAAAGATGCTAAAGAACCTCAAGAGCAGAACTCACCTCAGAAGCATTCCAGATGATTCAGTTTTTCCTGATCATCAGAGAGGACTGCTTCCCCCCACCCCCCTCTCTGCCCTATTTAGACAACTTGAAGAGTCCAAAAAGTGTTCAGAAGTGGGTTTCCCAGTGATCTGATGCTCCAAGACCAAGCTGAGAGACATAAAATTTTCCCAGGCCTTGGTCCTGGATCCAAAAAGCCCAGCT